TAATTATGTAAATTAGAAGTTATTAAAATTAAATATATTTTACAGTAAAATAGTTTGATTGGATGATTAATAATAAGAATAAGTAAAATAACTATATATGATTTATTGTTATGATGATTAAGTAGTTGAATAGTTTGATGTGAAAATAAAAGAGTGATAAATAATAATTTATTTATATTAATAAATGAGAATTAGATTATATTGATTTAAGTGAATAGATTATAAATAATAATAAAATAAATGGCTACAGCTTTAGGTTTAGGTTATGGTACTATAGCAATATTAGCAGGGTTTGTATTAGCACTACTCATAACATTCTTTTTTGGAAGATCAACAAGTTCTCCAGAGTAAACAATACTGAAAATAAAAGATTAGTTTGCCTTTTGACAATGTTAATTCCAATTATATTGATTATAATATTTACAGCATCGCCAAAAAAAAGTGAGATTCTAACAGATTCAGATTAAGTAGATTCTTACCTTCCAGTTGATATATTTGCGATAGTATTTGGGATTGTAAGTGCTTTGAGTGCATTATTATGCATTCTTGGACATTACTATTTTTAAGGATTAAGAGCAATTAGAATAAGTTCTTAATTAGAAATGGAAAGAGATAAATAAAAATTAGAAAGAAAAAAGCCTGCTTGAAGTGATTGAACCTATAATTATTATTTTAAATTTTTTCATGCCGCCATTCAAATAACTTAAAAAACATATTTCAATAATTGAAAAATCTATCGTTGAATAATAATGACCTCTAATCGTCTATCAAAACTATATTCTAAGAACATCATTAAAAAAAATAAATAAATTTTAATGGACTTGAAAATTAGAAAATAAAATTATTTACTATAGAATCTAAATAAGCATTTACAGAATTAGATCATATTCATAATAATATAACAGTTAATATAATATGAGATTATTTTACAATATTAACAAAATATAGTTGAACTAATTAATCAAATTTCTATTGATGAATTTAGATCTAGCAAAATAATTTATAGCTTTACCTTAAAATTAATATAAATCTATAATTAAACCTTACAAAATTTTTAAGTCTTTGAAATAAGATAAAATTTAAATTAAAAATATTGAAAACTAAAATGTTGATTAATATCTTTAGAAATAAATAGGTGCATATAAGAATGAAGTAATGAGAATCATGTTAGAATTCATAGTTTAAAGAACAGCTTTATTAAAATAGATTGGAACCAATAAAAGTATTAAATATGAATTGCATACGTACTATTATTTAGCCAATCTAAAAATTTTGTTGTCCTACAAGATATTTAAATACGTTTTTAATATTCTTCTTTGACATTCTAAAACAAAAGATTAAGTCTTTGAAGTATCGAATTGGATAAATTAAGATTTCATAAGTAACCTCTTTAACTAATTCAACTATATTAAAAATATCAAAAATTCAAAGCAATGAAATTTATTATTGACTAATCAATTTCAACCTAACAAATTAAAATATCAAATGTTTATCTTTGATAACTTCTCTTCAAAGAGTCTTATAAATAAGAATTTTGCAATTTTGTCCTAATCTTTAAGCAATTACATTTATAGAAAGAATTCACTATAAACTCTTTCCTTACCAATTCTACTTTAAAAATCAAAGGTTTATTAATGAAATGAGAGTCAAGGCTGTTGAAAATTGTAGATATCTGTGCTGTTTTTTTGATTAAAAATTTTTGTTGACTAATGAAAAAGTTGTTATTATGCAAATAAATTGAACTGATTATATTATATATAAAGTTTTGTTAAAATATAACAAAATTTCATTAACAGATAAGTAATTTAAAAAACCAAGACTCAATCTTGTTGATGAATTAATAAGGATAAAGATATTACGGTAATTTGATTTATTCTTAAAATCAAGAATTACTGGATTGGATTTAGTTTGATACCTTAAATATGATTGAATCAATTTTAAATATAGGTAGAAGAAAGAGAATATCAAAAATTGCAATAACTAGATATTCGTGTATCAAAAATTAATATATTTAATTTATCTTTTTTAAGAGTGATTTATTTAAATATTTGATATATTTACTGATTTTAAGACTAAAACTGAAGAAATAATATTAAAGTTCTCTTATTTTTAATTAGATGAGATAAGATGAGATAAACATTCAAGGATACAGAAAATCTGAATATGATCTAATCTCTTTTTAGAATAGGCTTATTGTTATTTATAATTCAAAGTAGAAATTATTCACATCTACTTGCTTAATATAAAAAAAAAATCACAAGAACAGTTGTTAATAAGATTTTAAACATTAATTTAATGTTAATCTATGATTTGCTTATAATAATTGCTGGAGTGCTTCTTTTAATTTATTCTACACCTCTAATCGATCGATGTTTTAAAAAATTTTATATTACTTGCTTAGTCCTTATTTCTTGTTCTTCTTACCTTCTTTTTTCAATTATATATGATACTGTTTCCTTAACTGATGCTTAAATTAAAGGTTTTGATCCCATCTTCTTTTTAAAGTGATCAGACAATGTAATATTCTATGTTAATTTTGGAAATTAAGCAAGGATCTGTAAATATTATTTAGTAGATATATAAGTTTCCCCTTAATATACTTCTTCCTTAGATTTTCTATTCTTATATTTATTTATAGTGGATTGTTTATTTGAATGAACTCTTATTTCTTTGAATCCGGCTTTCAAAGTTTTTTATTCACAAATTTAAATTATTCGAATCATATAAAACTTTACAAACTTACTTTCGAATGCATGGTGTTAAAACATCAATCTTATTATATTATTTAATTAAAATAAAGTGCAAAATACAAATAAAAATTAGCTTTCTATAAGTTTAATTAAGAATTTATACTAGTTGGATTTTGTATTAAAAATTTGGAATTCATAATTTAACATTTAATTAGTATTTATAAATATATTATTTGAATTTTAAATGATTACTTAATATAAGTGTAAAATAACTAAAAAAGGGTTATATTTACATAAAAGACATACTTATATATAACTACAAATATTTGAATAAATGAGATTTTTATAGAAAGTTATTATTTAAATATAAATATTGTATTTTTTAATTAAAAAGTTATTTCTTGAGTTTCTTTACTTTAAAAATTGAAAAATGAAAATTAGGGAAAGAATGATTATTGTTTTAATTTTAAGGATAGTATGATAACATATATTAATGATCCAGAGTAATGATATACTCAAAATTTATTAAGGTGTTAAGTAATATAGTAAAATCTATTTTTTTAATCATTAATTAATTAAATATATTGTTGTTCAATACACATTTGTATTACTAAAATTGGTGCTTTGATTTTATTTCCAGATCCCTAGCTTTGTTTTTATTGATTATCGATATTGTTCAATATTATCAACGCTTAGCTGTAATTTATCAAAGAGTTAATTATTTTTATCTTCAAATGCTCTATCAATAAGAAGATAATCGGAAAGAATTCTATTAATTTTATCTACTTATAAATAAAGATTATATTAGAAAGCAGTGTCTTATAAAGGATCTTAATTGATATTTCTTCCTCCTCTTTTACTTTAATTTATAATCATTTCTTCTATGGTTCCTTTAGTTTAAAATAGAGTTTTGATTTTGGAGAGTGTTTTTTCATTATCGACATTTTTATCAACTAGATTAAGACATGAATTGAGTTCATTCCAAATTGCAAGAAAATTTTACTTTTGTGGTAGAACTTGAACAATTGGTTTAGGTAAAGAAACTTATTTTTTAGGAGGTTATCTGCTAGAACAGGCTCCCATGTTTTAATATTAAAATATATTAATATTAATTTATGATTGAAGACAGATTTAAAAGAAAATGTAATTAGCTTTAGAATCTATAAATATTTGAAATGATTTTAATATTTGGGAAAAGATAGAAATAATCATGAATATTAGATTAGATATAGAATGTTTTAGAAAGAGAGTAATATAATTAATTAAGTTCAAATATTAATAATAGAATTGAAAACTAAATTGACAGAACATTTTATATGTAAAGGGAAAAAAATAGAAAAGGTGGTTGGAAAAAAAGTAACAATAAGGTAATTGTTATTTTTATAAAAAGCTTATTTAAAATTAAATGAAATTAGATACACTAAGAATAGAAGTTATTTTATTTAATATTAATGAAAAAAAGAGAGAGAGATATTAGTATTAAAAAGTAGCATAAAAATTTGAGATTAGAAATGGATGAATTAATAAGATAATGAGAAATTTTAATTGTAATTATATTAAATAAGTCATTTTAGAGTTTAATATGATTTAGTTGTAGAAATAGAGAAAATGGAAGCATTATAATTTTAATAATGATCAATTATTGGATAAGATAAAAAAATAAGATGAGAGAATTAATTGATTGAAAATAAATAAATTTAGTATTAAATTAATTTAATTATGGGCTCAATCTAATCAAAAAAATAAAATCAAATAATAGTTTTTGGTGGTGTTGGATTAGCCACAATTGTTGGCATTTTATATTTGATGTATATTTTTAAGATTTACTTAGAAAATCTAAACACCCTGAAGGAACAGAATAACCAAAAATTAATCAAATAAAATAAAATGTTCCGTAAATCAATTCAATCAATTAATCCCCATAAGTAATTAAAACTGAAGGCTATGATCAATAATTCTAACAAGTTGTTAGATCAATATAAGTTGAAAGATAAGGATAATTGATTTCTATTACAACTATTACATAAATATTAGAGAAATCATTAGATTTAGCAAAAGAGGAATTCAGCTAAATAACTTTGGATAATAGAAAAAGTATTAAAATAACTATTACATCTTCTAGAAAGAAGAGAAATCAGAAAATCTAATAAAGCCTAATATAGATAAATGGTGTTAGATTATAATGAATAAGTGGAAAATTTATTAGAGAAAAAGTAAATGGAAATTTGTGAATTTTTAAATATTTCAGAAGATGTATTTCAAGAAAGTGTGATGTCCTTAATGGAAAGAGGATTCTATTAATAATTTTTCATGATTTAAGCCTCCATTAGATAAAAAATCAAAGATTCACTTCCACCCACTAAAAATATTAATGAAGATTAATTGAAAAAAATAATTCAATTCTAGGTAGAATAATTAAAAAAATAACCCTAAGAATTAAAAGATATTATTGCAAATTTATCTGTAATTATTTTGTTAATTATTATACAGGAAAATCAAGAAACTTAATAATTGATACCATTAGCAATTAATACTATATTAGGTGATTATGTATATGAGAAATTTGAAATTGAAGAAGAGGACATGATCAAAATGTTATAAAATCAAGGTACTATTATTTTTATTCTCTAGCCTATTTTTCTGATCCTTCCATGTAAAAGGCTATGATGGAATTGGAATAAGCTATGTATCAATTAATGGCATCAATTGGAGGAGAACATATGTGAAAACATAAAACACGTTAAAATATATTAAAATATAGAAAAATATTATTAAATCTATTCTCACTCTTTTTTTAATAGAATTTACAAAAATATATCAAATTAGTAATATTAATTAGAATTCTAATTTTTTAGATTTTTATCTGTAAAATATTAACTCAAAATCATTAAAAATAGAGAATAAAATATAATTGATTAAGGCTATATCTTAAATAATTTAATTCAATTTATATTTTTCATTTGATTTTCTAAGTAAGATCAATAAATTAGTTTAATTATATAGTAGAAAATTATTTAGAAACTAATAAGATAATCAAAAATAATTATGATATTTAAATTTGCTAATTATCTATTGTTTAATTTAAGTTTTTTATAATATTTGAAATATTTTTAGATTATCATTTACCAAATAATTAATAACCAACTAAAACCCCAATAATATATTAAGATATCAATCAGTTTAAAGATTAAAGATTAATTCCTAACATACAACAAAAATAATTATTTAAAATAAAAGTACTTAAGGATCTTTATTAGATTTTTTTCAAAAGAGTAATAAAAAAATTGAATAGAAATAAAAGAACTCTTCAAATGATATAAGGGTTAATAAATTATATTAACTTTTAATTTTTTATAGAATATGATATTTAATAATGTTTTTCGATTTATTAATAAATTTGATATTCGACAATGATTGACTATAATAACAGTATCTCCTTATTATAAGATATTTTAATGGTTTTTTCATCTTTGTACTTCTTTAGGTTAAAAATTTAATTGAAAATTTCACAGATATTATATTTAAAATTTTAAGATAAAACTTAAGTTTGTAGAATCTTATAAACTTAAATTCCTTATTAAATCCTGAATAAATATTAGAAAAATTCAAAATTTCTTTTGATTTAAATATCCATTTTTTATTTATACATACAATAAGTTTTATAAATTCCATAATAAATTTTAACAAAATACAGATTCTTATAATTTTTATTTAAACATCTCGAAATTGCTTTAAAATATTATAAATATTATATATCCTAAAGAGGTTCGCATGTTATGTTGATAAATAATTTGATTTGTATATATAATTGATTTTCATTCATATAAAAATTCGATGGTTGTTAATAATTATGGGTAAAATTTGTACTAATTTTTAGTAAGTTTTATAAAATTTAATCTTTTTATCGATTTTCCTTAATTGATTCTTCAAGAGCAATAATATTTTTAGATAATAAAATATATTATGATAAAATGGATAATATTTTAGAAAGTAACCAAATAATTAGGAGCATATATTTTATTTTAATTGTAAATTATAGAACCTTCTAAATTAGAATTTTTAATAATTTTCTTCGAAAATGAGTTCAAATAGACTAAGAGCAATGAGAGAGAACTTTCATTCAGAATTACGAAAGTAAACTTTAGAATAGACATTTAAATTGAAAAGATTAGTAACAAACTCAACAAAACATTATCCAATTGAATAATTAATTGATATAGTAGATAAGTTGATGAGATATTATGAATTGAACGATGAGGAATACTAAATAATGATATAAATTTTAGATGATGTTTAATAGACAGCTATGAATGATCCTTCTTAATTTTGTGAATGGGCAGAACATTTGAAAATAATAAAAACTTTGGTTAATTCAATGTGTTTAGGTTCAAATCCTAAGTATTCCATAATTGCTACAAAAGCAGCAAATTGTTTTAGATAATTAGTTAGATAAAAAAAGCCAAGAGTATATGTAAATGAACATTTTGATTAAGTTTGTGAAATATATAAATCTTGGATAGATTCAGATTCTAATATATTGAGAGAAAATGTATTAATTAATGAAAATTTTGTTAATAGGGATTGAGCGGTTTAAATTAATTAGTAGAATTACATTCACCAAAATACTCTAAATATGATATAATAGAGAGTGTTTTAAAGTCTCTTTAAATGAATAAGAATAATGATAAAGCATTAAGAATATTAGCAAATATTACAAAGAGTATAGATGATGATAATTAAGTAATAGCAATATTACGAATTGCCTCAAAATTAATTGAAAATTCAGATAATAAATGTATATGATATTTATGATTTAATTAGTAAAAGAGAAAGGTTTAATGATCCTTGAGAATGCTAGTAGAAATATATAGAATATATAATTTATATTAACAATGAGAGTAATGTAATCTATTATGAATTTAATTTAAAATAAGGATAAAAACATTTCAAAACTCTCTTTATCAATTTTAGTGAATTTATCATTTACATCTGAATTGGATGAATGTTAAAAAATGTTGGATTTAGGAATTATAGAAACACTTTATAAATTACTTAAGAATACATAATTTACTTATTATAGGATTTATGGAAGTATGATATTTAATAATTTGATGGCCTCTTCGTATTTGAATTTGGATAAAATTATTTCGAATTAAAAAATATTAGATGTAGTATTTGATCTTTTAGAAAATGATGTTGTAGATGTTAGAAGAGAATTATATTAAGCATTTAAAAACTTTTTAGTAATTTGTTCAAAGAATTAACTCTTGATAATGGTTGACTTAGGTTTACTAGATTATGAGATTTCAGGTTTAGATGATATAGACAATACAATAGTTTTATTATCTATTGAAAGTATTTATTATTAACATGATATGATAGCACTGGTAATGATAATGCGATAATTTTAATCAACTGATTTTGAGAGAAAAGTACATTAGTACTTTTATGTAAAGAATGTATTTTTGAAACTTGAGAATTTGAGTAGAGATTCTAACGTAGAAAGAATATGTTTTCAAGCCTAACAGTTTCTTAATGAGCTAAATGACTACGATTAATGATTAAATTAAATCTTTAATTAGTTTAATGAATAAGAATGTTTTATTTAAGTTTTTTGATCCAGTGACATTAGCAGGAGATTAGATAAGAGGAGAATGCTTTGTCAGAATTATTGAGGAAATACCAAAAGCATAAATAGTTTTAACTTTCTAAACTAAAATGTATTCAAAGATCATAGAAAAAAGATAGGTATTTATGTAGATTTGAAACTTTAAGATACCTTATGATTAAAGTAATCCTTAAATGATTCCTGAAAAACTAATCGAAAAAACCTAACGGATTCAAGTTACTCTAGATTCCCCGATTAGATAACCTAAGCAGACTCAAAAAAAATATGAGCTTAATGGTGATATAATGTATCGAGTTATTAGACATTATGGAACTCATGAATCTTTTATATACACATAAGAATTATACACAGGATAAGTGAGACCAGGAGATTATAAGTTTTAATTTAACATACCGACCTAATATAATATGTCTAGTAGTTTTTCATACAAAAGTGAAGATGGTATTGATTAAATTAGAAATAGGATTGAAATAAGCAAAATGTAGTTACAAAGTTACATTAAGAATAGATTTACCTGATGAAGCTAGTACTTTAATGATGGAGAGTTGTGATGTTTATATAAATGGAAGAATATCTTAAGAAGGAGAATAATTTAGATAATGTGAAGGAAATATAGTTTAATATTTATGTTTAAATAGAGGAACAGTAGAACTATCCTTAAAATTAAATAAAAACAATTTAATTCCAGGAGAATAAATGTTAATTGAATATACATTAGATAATACACGTTCTTAAAGATCAATTAGTAGAGTAGAAGCTAGATTAATAAATAAATTAACATTTATAGATGATGATGAAATTGAAAGAATTATAGAAACTAGTAAAGTTTTTTAATAGAATCTTGGAGGAGTGAATGCTGGTTAAAAGTTAGAAAGATAAAATGCCTCATTAGAAATACCTAAAAATCTTAGAGCCACTATAAAAACTAGTGCTATAAGAAATTAATACTTTTTATAAATGGAGGCTATTGCTGTATAAAAATAATACTATTTTAGGATGCCTTCTTAACTTGGTTATCAGTTCCTGTAGTTTGCCAAGTTCCAATAAACATTTAAGAATCTCAATTACCATAAAAAATCAATCTTGAAGGATGGAATTTCTTACCTATAATGAATGTATCTGTAAATGCATTTTCGAATCTAACTGTTCAATAATCATTTATACCTACATGAATATTTATTATTAATTCATACACTCATATATGGATAAAATAAAATCACTTAATATTGATTGTGCTTAATACTAAACAGATTATATTAGACCCATTCCGAATATTGTATCATCTGAATTCTTATGCAATGACAATATCTTTATGATCAATCTACTATGGAATTATACTCTTGAAATCAATCAAGATAAATTAAGTCAGGTTAAAGAAATCATATAAAAAGCATGTATAACAGGAATAAGTGATCAAGAAAAAAGAGTATTTTATAATCTCTATTGCTATCTAGCTTTTATTTGATTATCTCTCTAATGAAAAAGATTTACTCAAAAATTGTGGATTTACTTCTTAGAGATTACCTATCATAATTGATAAAAATAATGATATTGCACATTTTCTTTTGATTTAAATATGCAATCTAGATGGCTTTGAAGAGTATACTTTTAACTCCATACAAATTTTAGATTTTTAGAAGTCTTCTTCTAAATTGAAGTAACTTAAAATACCCTTGAATTGTTTGCTCACTTATATGGAAAACTCAAATTACCATAAGAATATATCACTCAATATATTAACTATTGCATAGACTTTTGTAATAACATTAAAGTAATTCAAATATACTTAATCATAGGAAAAATAATAATAAAACAAATTGGTTCGCTTTGTCTCTGTTTTTATCTAATAAATGTTCAAATTAAAAGCATTCACCATCAAAGATATTTTGACTGATGTAAGAATCTATAATACTTAGTTATAAGCATTTTGCATTGAATTCTCTAAAGTCAGTGATGTATCTAAACTTTTCAAATTAGTCAAAGGTTAAGAACCTTAAACATAATGATACTATTAAATTTTATGTTAGTCTTTGTCACTAGTCATTATTCATAAACTTTATATATAATATAATTATATTATAATATCATAAGTTTATTGTATCTTAAAAAGTAAAATAAATAAATACTCATAGTTCCAGTTAGACTTTCTTTTAAATATTAATATTTACCCAAAAATTGATTATTTCTTAACTTTTATAATCATTGAAAAAGAATGCTTCCACAGCTTTCCAAAACTTAAAAAATTTTTAAATAAATTGATATAAAAATTTGTAAAAATGAATAATTTATTTTTTCTTTTATTTTTTTTTTTAAAGAATTACTTATTTAATGGCATTTTGGATTAATTAGCATGAACTTAAAAATTATCAATTTGGATTTCAACTATTGTTAAAAATTCAAGAATATAGTAACATTTTATATCAATTCTTTATATATGTTCATTTTTCTTATTTAATTTATATAGATGAATTTATGTAATAGAATTCCAAATACAACTCTTTATTGAAATTGATAAGTTTAAGATAATAATATAATCTATATATTAATTATTTTAATAATAATTTATTTAAGCTTAGCATTTCTGTAAATTTATATTTGCCAATGAAAAAAGACCAAGACTACCCAAATATTTTAAATTAAAATGAAGAGAATGATAAAAATTCTGAAGAACCACAAACAGTCATTATTCGTCAACCGCTCAATGTAGTAGAAACTTAAAACTTTTTTGTTTTGGAATTTAAGCCTAATACAATGAGCTAGCTTAACCTTTTACGATTCAAACGTTCCTTGGCCAAAAAGATTATCAAAAAACTAAACAAATGAAAAGACTCATGATTTTTCCTATATTTATCAAATACCTAAACAAATTTATACAGCATTTTTTCTATAAAAACATCTATTCTGTAATTCCTTTAATTCAAAATTTCTTTATTTGTTTAAATAAGGACACCTTTAAGCATGTTTAAATTTCTCAATTAATTATTCTGATCAGTAATACTAGGTTTTTAAAAAGTATTATGCGAGATTCTTTATTCTAATCAAATATTTTATATAAGAGAATCAAGAATTGCATTATGCACTTTATCATCCTTATTATTTCTATTGCTTTTAAAGGACAACAATTTATTTTCAATAATTTTTAGTTTTATATCACAAAAAACAAATGGTTTATTTGAATTTTCCATAAATATTATTACGAGAGAAGTAAAAATTGGATTGGTATTCTAATGTTTTTTCAAATTTTCAAAATTTGTATTTATATTGTATTTATAAGTTCTATCTGACAAAAATTTATTTAACAATATTATTTTTATGAAAAAATTCTACAGAGAGAAAAACTTCAAACAAAATTTAATTGGAAGAGATATTTTATCACAGAGTTGAATTTAATGTTTAATAAATGTTTAAAATCAATTAGTTTACAAAAAAGGCGCTAATTGAATTTTCTTGAATTGATATAATTAAATTTTGATTAATTAAAAATAAAACAAGTTTTGAGATATCTTTTATTAAGATATTTAATTTTTTGATTGTAATTTTGAGGATAAAAAAAATAAATTTGATTGAAAATATTTTTTATTAATGAATATATCCAATAAAAACAACTTAATAAGTATAATTATTGAAAATCTAATAATATAATTAATTTGTTAGTTATTAATCAATAAATTAAAATAAAAGAGTAGAGAAATTAGATATTCTAAAACTCTTAAATTAAGAAAAGTGTAAATTAGTAATTAATTTGAGAAGAATATTGATTATAGAAGTAGATAGAGTGTGTAATGAAGAGAATGGGAATAAGAAAAGAAATTGTATTTTTATGAAATATATGTATAGTAAAAATTGAAATAAAAAGTTATTATTATAAATATAAAATTTGAATGAATACAAATTTAATTGCCAGATTTTAAAATAGTGCAGTAGTATATTATGCTTAGAGAGGATGGTATTGGACAAATAGAATAGGAAAGTTAAACATTTTGACAGCAGCAGCAATATGGTATATATTTGGAGAGAGGTAATGATGATGAGATAATGTTTTAGTTCAATAGCAGGAACATAAAGAACAACATTATATAGACATAATTGGATATAGAATCCAAAGCCTTCTCGTGTAATATTTGAGGAGAGATGGTGAGAGATATATCTATATATAAAATATGAATTGGAAATAAAATATAATTATTTTGTATATGATTTAAATTTTTCATAACGTGGTTGGTGTGACAGATGTGAAAAGGTTATCGACTGGATTTGTACATAGAAACTAAAGAGATTGATATAATAAATACATCTGATTATGGATTGACACATTAGTAGCATACTCCATTATTTAAATAGTAGCCATAATTACAGACTTCACAACCATTGCTTCCATTGCTGAAACAATTGGCTTATGCTAAAGTGACACAACCTCCATTTTAGAACACATATCCTGTAATACAAGATGTACAAGTAGTGCCAGGAGCAACACATGTCTAACATTCTGGTTAACATGCATAGCAACTACTAGTTGTTACAGAAGTAGTTCCAGAAGATGTTGTAGTGATAAGGAAATAACCATCATTACATTTGGTACAAGACTAAAAATTATAAATAAAAATGATTACATTTGCTTATTAACATACTTAACAATTTGAAACACATTTGTTACAATTTACAGTATTATTTGAGACACTACTACCAGTAGAATTATTACTATCTGTAGAAACAGTAGTAGGATAGTAACCTGAAAGACATGATGCACATCCAGAAGAATTACAAGCTTCACATCCATCGGCTTTTACACAAGCTGTACAGCCATAAGTTGATGTCAAATAATATCCATATTAACAAGCAGCACATTATAAATTAGCTGTTGTTCCAGTTCCAGAAATTACTTAGCATTTTATACATTATGCATTTGTTGATATGCATTATTAACATGAATTACCTACTATTATATATCCATTAACACAAGATGTACAGTTTCCATTATTATCAAATGTTAAACAATGTAAAGTTAAGTTTATTAGAGTACAACTTGATCCATTCAAATAATAACCCTCTTTGCATTAAGTTGGACTTGTTGCTGAAGTACATCTTAAATAGTTTGTGGCAGCTTATTAATTAACTGGTACGCTACACAATGCACATGTTGTAATGTTATTATTTACGCTACGGTAATATAAATCTGCACAAGTAGAACAAGTTAATGTTGTACCATTATAACTGCATTAAGTACATCCTGTAATTTATGAACAAAGAGAACATTTCTTATTTGTTGAATCATATGCATAACCTTATGAAGCACATTATGTGCAACTGTTATCACCATCACAAGCTAAGCATCCAGCTGGGCAAATAACACATTTTCCATTATAAAGGTAATATCCACTTGAGCAAGATCTGCATGTTGGAACTAATGATTGAGCATGAGGTGGTGTTGTGCTATTATCACAAGTCAAACAATTGGATATGGGGGTTGAGCAAAGTTAGCAATAGTTGATTCCAGAATATGGGAAGACCATATAATATCCAGGATAACAAGTAGAACATGATTGATTATTAGTACATGTTTGACATCCCTACATACATGGTTGGCAACTTCCTTGACTTCCATTACTTGATTATTAAAGATATTGTGATGTTTGCCAGTAATATCCTTGTGCACAAGTTGCACAAACTTTGGGACCTGTACATGTTAAACAATTAGAAATGTCACATTAAGTACATTAAGAGGGGAAGTTAAAGAAATATGGAATTGTATCTCCTTATTGTACTCCTTGGGAAACAAAAGTATTATACTACCAATTAAGATAGTAACCATTGGCACATTATATGCAATTACCAGTAGTACTGCTGAATTATTAACAATTTTAAGTTTTCAAGCAAACATTTGAGACAAGTGAGTAGGAATCTTTACATGCAGTGCAAATAAGAGTTGTACCATCATTGCTAATTTAGTAAGTAGTACATCCATCAGGAATTGGTACACAGGCACTATAATTTAATAATATTTTAGATACCCTTTAACTAGAGCATATCCAGAATTGCAAACAATGGATGGGCAATCCATGTAAGTTGAACATACACAATATCCATTACCAGATTATAATGATTTGCATGGAGAACAATATTATCCATTCCAATAATTTCCATTAGAACATAAATAGGATGGACTATTTTAAATTACAACTGCAGGGGTTGGGGTAACTGTTACAGTAGGCGCTGTGTTAAGGTATTGTCTGCAAATAGACTATAATTTCATAATTTATATTTATTACATTTGTAAGTGGAGACAAACATTATAAGCAATAGTTAACTCCATTAATTTTTTATAGGTAGAAACCATATTAGCAATAAGTACAGCCTGTAGTAGAATTCATAGCAAGACATTTAATTTAAACACATTAGGATTCATTACTGCTAATTGTGATTTTTGTGTAATTAACCGAACAAGTATCACATGTATTTGTACTTGTACATTTATCGCAATTATCAGCACATTTATTGCATTGGTAATCTGCAGCAGTAGTACCAGTTTTATAATAACCAACATCACACATGCATGGATTATCAGAATAAGATGCTATACATTAGGCTGCGCCAGTAACAGTTTAAGCAGTACATTAATCTGGTCCAGATGAATAAATTAATCCTAATCCGCAGCAAAGTTGATACTTCTAGGTATCAATAGGATTAACAGCTACAGGAGAGCATGGAAGGCATGATTGACCACTCTTTAGGAAGCCTGGTAAACAAGTTAAATTAGATGCTGTGCAAGTGACAGTAGATTTTTGTGAAGCAACAGCAGCAGTACAATTGGCAGTATTTTTAGCATCATTATTACAATTGCAATAAGAGCAAACACCAGTTTAAGGAGGACTATCTCCTAAGGCAGCTGGTAAACAAGTTTGACATTAATAACTCTTCTGATCATTAGTAGGATCAGTAATAGTTAGACAAGTTTATAATGTAAGATTTGTTGCTTATGTATTGTCATTTTTAACTGGTACACAATTATTATTCAATAAGAAATATTGATCTTAGCATTGAATAGGAGTCACTTGATTGTTGTTAAATTAACATCTCAAGAAACCGGGATTTGATGTAGCACAAGATTTGCATGTATTTGTATCCAAGTAATAGGTATCTTTACATTTAGAACAGGTTGCTGGAGTTGCTTAATCTGTAACAGAATATTCGATACAAGCTTAAGGAGCCGATATACATTTTAAATTATCAGTAGTTTTCTATGTAGTAGCTGAACATGTTTAGCATGTAAGATTTGGAGTATTATTAACATTAAATGAACACTTTTAACAATCAGTTATTTAACTGCTGCATAATTAACAGATGTTACTGTTATCCAAATAATAAGTATCTGAACATTATTAACAAGTTATTGTTGTTTATCCTTAGTCATATGTACAAGAAGTGCATCCAACTCCACATGAATTACAAGTAGTATTTTATTTTATAATGAATGTATCTTTACATCTACTACATTAAACTTAATCATTAGCATAAGAACATGATCCAGTAGCACAATTGGCATCACATAATTTACAAATATTGTTTGGATCAGATACATATCCAGGTAAACATTATGTACATGTCAATTGACCTCCCTAAGCTGAACATTAAGCACAACCTACATTATTAGCATTACATGAAGCACATGACTAATTAATATTATTATATATATCTTACATTATTGTCAGTTGTTTGTAAATATATATAACCACCTGCTTTATTGCATGTATCACAAGTAGTTCCATTTGTACACTAGAGACAATTGTTCATACATTATGTGCATGTTCCCTTTTATGTTTGATCTGAACCAGCAGTATAATAAAAACCATCTTTGCACTTATCACAAACTGTTGAATTCTAACAACGAATACAATTTGGTATATTTGAACTACAAGCCAAACATTATCCAGCTAATGAATCATTTAACTAATTTGATAAAGCTGTCTTTTATTATGTGGGACTCCAATAGTATTCATCATTACATTAAACACATGTATAACTATAATAAATATATCATAAATCTTTACCCAGATGTACAGATTTTACAATTATTTAGACATTAATTGCATATCACTTCATTAATATTTTGATAGTAATCCCAAGATTAAAGTGTCTTTAATTAATAATTTTAAGTGAAATAATAACCATCCACACAAGTGTCACAAGTACCTGTCACTAAATTCATCTAAGCACAGTTATTTGCTTTTACGCAAATTCCAGCTTTTAATAATTATATTTTAGTATACCAACCATAAAATATCCAGGTGAACATGATTTACAAACAACAGATTAATTTTAATCGCCCCAAACATATTCTGTACATCCTGATGCTCTCAATAGAATGTAGCTATTAATAACAATTAATTTAATACGAGTCAGAACCATTAGTCAAAACTTGACAATTTGGAATTGATTTATCACATACTTTTGTATCGCAGCCACCATATTTTGTGCATGTACAATACCCATTCTTCACCTACATGCATGGTACACAAAGTTAGTTATTCCATGCAAATCCTAAAATGATTAATCATCATAATGCATACCATTGATGCATTATCCTGTTGTAGCTGGTGGATTCTTTTCTCCTTTATCAGCACCAGTAGCAGGATTTATAGGGTTAACTGAATAGTCTACAGCTGAACCAAGTGTTAACAACTAGCAGAAGAACAAAATTGTGAGCAAAATCTTTGTTCTCATTTTTTTATTTTTAATAATATCTCCATTCACTCAAAATAATCCGTATAAATAGTAATGAAATCCTTAATACTATTTACATTCTATCTTTTAAACAATATTTTTATCTTTATTTAATCTAATCCACATTATTCCATTCTTACTTTACTATTTATTAATCTTTTCATCTCATCTTACTTTACCTCTCAATTATCATACTTAACCATCTTTCTCAATTCATTGTCTACGAAAAGTCTCTTATGACCAACTTATCTCTTTCCTTCTACATTGTCGAAATTTCTTGAAATATGGAACTCATTTAATTTTAAATTTATGAACTTCATTTACTACTATCCTTTATCTTATAACCCAACAAAAATTCTAATTCTCTATATTTTTCTATGCATCAAAAAAACTTTTTTATTTAGTTCATCTTATATTTATATATACTATCCTATCAAAAATACAAATTTTATTAGTTAACATTCAGAATCAATCAAATGCGGAATTACCATTTTTAATTTAATTATTTCATTGTTTATAATAGTAACGATTATTAAATTAATGTTCTAATCATAGAATTTTGGAGCATTCAATAATAGTAATTATATTTATTAAGAATCATTTTGGTAAATATAAAATCATGGTTCTTTTATTATTTGTTTGTTAATTTAAATCTATTAATTGTATTTATTGTATAATATGAAGTAATCAATGAACTTCAATACAAACCTATTTTCCACAAAAAATTTAAAATTAAATATATCGTTTGATTTCAACTTATTATTCCTTAGGTTTTTGATATCAATCTATTAGAAAAAATGCTATCAATTGCATTATAATACATAATTATTAATCAAATGGCTTTTTTGTTTGAAGAAGACAGAGGATTAACATATACTAAGGATCCCTACCCCCATCTTGGTCCTGGAGTTTATCAGATTCCTGAACATCAGACTAAAACTGCTTATGCTCCTTTTCTCTCTACTGGAAAGAGATAAGGAGAGATGACAAATAAATAGAAAGCTAAATTCCCTGGTCCTGGTTAATATGAAGTGTAACTCAACATGGGAGATTCTGGAGTACAAGCTTACATGAATAAAAGCACTATAATAGTCAAAGTTTAGGGTAATGGAAGTAGTTGTTTTAAGAGTGGAATAGAGAGATTTTAAGATGATAAAAATGTTAAAGAAGTATTTAAAATTTATAAATTCAGATTCCTGGTCCTGGTCATTATGATACTATAAATAATAACTCTTAAAATAAATAAGCGTGCTTAATACAAAATTAAAAATTAGACGATATTAGAAATTAAAATCTGAGAAGAAGAATTAACTCAATCCCTGAACCTAAAACATAGATAGGTATGGTGTATGAAGACATTGAAACTTTGGCTTAACATTAAAAATTAATTTAAGATTAAAAAAAATAAAAAGTTATTGGACCAACTACTTATGAGATTTAATAATCAAAATAAGTTAAGGGAGTATCATGGGACAAAAGTGCTAAACCAAGATTTTAATAAGAATAATCTACAGATATTGGACCTGGAAAATATAATATTACTGATGAAAGAAAAAAGAGAAATAAATCACCTGCTTTTTTATCTGAAACAGTTAGATCTTACTATGATAAGTTAATTTATAAGACTAATAGAGAAATTAATGCTGGATTAAGAAAATAAATAAATTATAAAGATTAATGCTCTCCAGGACCAGGTCAATATAATGATTGCAGAGTATCAATAAAAGTTCAAAAAAAAGCAAAAGAATTTTAATTTTTTGGATCATCGTTAGAAAGATTTGGATATAATCAAGATTAAACAGTTGGTCCAGGAGATTACAGAATTGAAGATTCTTCATTTGATTAATTAGTAAAAAAGAAAAATTATACAAATGCTACATTTTTAAGTTCTACTAGTAAAGGTGGTGATCTATTAAACTCTAATGAATAAATACCAGGTCCAGGAGCATATTATGTTTAAAATGATCTTTATACAGATATAATTCGTAAATAAGATAGAGGTATTAGTGGATATTTGGGTGGAAAAGAAAAAAGATTTTATGATAAACCTCCTCTTTGTAAAGCTGGACCAGGAAGTTATGATATAATTAAAGAAGAAAAAAAGAGATCTGTAAGTTCTTGTTTTAAATCATCATCTAAAAGAGATGTTCTAAACAGAAGTTGTGGTCCTGATATTGGACAATATAAATTGGATTAGGAGACTATTGGATATAGAATATAAAAGTAATTAAAATTTTTAAAGAATCTATAAAAAATTGATGTCTAAAAGCCTGGTTTTTATTGTGCCGAACCCAGATTTAAAGAAAATTAAGAAGTAATCTAAAATATATCCTTTACAGAACAAAATTAATATAGCTCTGGAACTGTAAAATAAATTACTGCTCCATTTAAATCATAACAACCTCGACTAGGATATATTAATAGATAGTTTACACCTGGGGTTGGTAAATATTAGGTAGAATCTAAAAATTGGAAGATTAATAGTTTTAATACTCACTACAATAAACTATTATCGGACTCATGATTTTTATTTAATTCATTTTATAAATCTTTTTTTGTTACTAAAAATATTATCTCATATCTTTAATTTCTCATAAATCAATAATTCTTTGTTATTATGAGGTTATTAAAATGTTAATATTGAATTAATATCAACCAAATAGGCATGTCCCTATTTAATTTATACCCAAATATTATTTTTACATAAAGTGATTATATAATTTATTTAATTGTCTTCTCTAATCAATTGAATTATACTTATTAATTAATACTAGATATCATTCTAAGTAGGATTCAAAAAACTGCCTGCGATATTCTAAGATATCTTAATATCAGCTTATTATTAAGACAATTCAGAAGTATTGAATACCAGATATTATGGGAAAATTATAAAGTTGAAAGTTGCATCATTATTTTCTAGTTTATTCTCTTAACCTTCTAAAGTAATCAAATCCATTAAATATTTTGAAAATTCAACTTATGGTGTTATTATTGTGTCAAAATATCTGACATACTTTATACTATTAATTAGAGGTACTTCATTTTATTAAACTAATTTATACAATACAATACTTTCAATATTTATTGGAAATGCTCTTTATAAGAAAAAGAATAAATTAAAAATTGGAGAGTCTTCTGCCTAAATAATTGTTGCTATCTAAGATTTTTATTATTCATTCTTAACTATTACTTTACTTAGATGGTCTATTATTGAAAATAAAAAGTCATTTGCTTAATTATCATTTTAATCTTAAACTTAGATTAATTCTTATAATTGGATAGCAGTTTATGCTTAAATTTGATCTATTTTTTCTTTTCTTATATAATTTATAAATTAATAAATGATCAAACTTACTTTTTCTTTAACGACTAAAATATCTTTTAAGGGAGTAATTAATTCCATTAAATATATCACAGGATAGAAATATGCTTTTACTCCTTTGAATATGGGAATACTTCTAATTCCTAAGAATTCAAAATTAGAGTTAAGAAATTTGTTATTGATATCTGACAATTTTTAAATTTCATTTGTATAATTTTTTATCTCTTTATTTGCAGAAGCTAATTATTCTGCCTATGACTTCATCTATTATTCCAATAACATTACTTAATTTTACAGTACATTCTATTTATCTAGTTCCATTTGCTTATTTAAAACTCAATATTTACATCACATAATTTATGAAATTGATTCTATAAAGTAAAATTATCTTGCTATAATTTCACTATTTCTATTTTACTTTATTTCAATTCTTAGCTTTCTTAATAAAAAAGTTAATTTTTATTAAGGATATTTTTAAGATCTTTAATATCATTTTAAAGTTATAAAATTTATGATTTCAATTTTTCATTCTCTTCTTTCAATAATGTTTATGATTAAGTTAATGTTTCTAATTCTTCAATTGTTTATTTATTTTCATTAACAACTTCTATATAATTATTGATAGTGACTTCTCGTAATGTTTTTACTTATTTATAATTCTCTAGATAGAAAAATAAAAGTTCAAATTAGTTTTTGAAATCTTGAAAGGTATTTATATAATCAAAGTCTAGATCTAAGATCTTTATTCCTTAATTTTAGTTTGATTAAGGTTTTTGATTAGGCCAAATCTATTTTAATTTCTAATAATAGCTGTCTAATTCTGGTTATTATTTACTTTAAGTGTGTTCAATCTCCAACTCTATTTGTTAGAGTTTGTATACCTCTTAATCGGAAATCAATCTATTACTTTAGATTTTAAGGATCCTGAAAATAAAATCCTATGATTGTCATGCACTAAAGTATTTTTTTGTAATGATTCATGTTTGTACAAATATTAAAAGATATTAAAAATAATTATTTGCATGGATAAATATTAATATAATTATGTTTATGCTGATAAATAATTTGATTCAAATGAATAAAATAAATAATATAATATTAAATGTCAGAGAAATTGCCTTAGATTCATAAAGTGAATAAGAGTGATATTCAAAGTCCATTTCGTTATCCTTCAGATGAAGAAGTGTTTTTATTTCGTGAATAGGATCGTAAAAAGTAAGAAGCTCAAAATAATGGGGATATGCATATATGGGACAAGAAAACTGCTACAAATAGAACTTAATTAAAACATTTCAAAGTATAATGTTTGTATTACATCTAGTCTTATGAAACTTAAATTGATGATAAATTTAAATCAAAAACAGCTTATAATGATAAAGATAAGAAAGTAATAAATGAAGCATTACAAATCATTTAAGAAAGAAAGAAATAAAGAGCAAAAGGAGTATCAAAAGAACCTATTGTAACATTGTTAGAATAGAAGAAAGAAATGTTTTTAGTTTCAAAGGCACATGGAATTATTGAAGAAGAAATAGATAAATTAAAGTTAATGTCAAAAGAGAAGAAGGAAGCTTTAGAATAAAGTTTGAAAATGTTAGAAACAGATAATGAAAACTTTTAAAAGTATTTGGATACAAATAAATAATAAAAATTAGATGCAGAATAGAAGGCAGATTAAGAAGTAAAAGAAAAGAAAGCTAAAGAATCTGAAATAAAATCAATTAATATAAAGATAACAAGTTTAAGAGCGGAAAAAACAAGGAATGAAGAAGCTGTTAATAATTATATGGATCATAAGAAATTTTTAGATAAATTAGCTCCAAAAGAATGGCATGATGCAAAAGAAAAAAAGCGTTAATAATTAGTCAATAGATTGAAAGATGAATTAATGAAAAGTAAAGCAGTTACAGAAAAATAATTTTAATAAATGGTAGATAACAAAAAATTGTAATAAAATTTAAATTAATATTTATTAGAGATGAATTAGAAGAATTTGAAGATGAATATGAAATGTATTTTAAATAACCATCATAATTGGTTGAAATATTTAATGATTTAGAAGAAAGGAATTTATTTTTAATTTAAACTACTTAAGATGCTGAATAAAATTTAGAAGAATTGAAAACTAAATTTAATAAAATAAAAAAATCACTTGATGATAAAGTTTTTACATTATAATAAAATAAAGAATAATTGAAAAAGAATTATGATGTAATTTTGTATAATATATATTTAAGAATGTATGTTAATAAATAAAAACATTATAATTAAAAGGAACAGAGAAGAATGCTAAGAAAGATCATAAAGAATTGAGAAAATAAATTATAGAAGTTTGTGAAAATTTTCCAAATGAAATTTAAGGAGTTCATGATTTACAAAATAAAGAGACTCTAGATATATTAGTTTAAATAGAATTACATTTAGAAAGACAATTAAAATAGATTAGATCCTTTAGACCAGATAGAGTAGAGAATTTTGTAAGAATTTGAAATGTTATAAAATAGAGATAAGAATGTGAAAGGGATTGGAAAGTTAAATAAAGAGATTCAAATAATTTAAAGTTAAAGTAAGAAGAAGAGAGAAGAATCAAAGCTAATTAAGAAAAAATTATGCAACCCAGTAAAAAGAAAACTGGTAGATAACCAATGTTCAGATCAAAGCCATTTGATAGAGTCATAGTATAGTAGGAGGAAAGTGTTAATAATGAAGAATTGGAAGATTAAAAATACTTCATGGAATGATGATTCCAATATTCAAACATTTGATTATCTATAAAATTTAGTCTCTAAGACTTTCACTCCACACATCTTGCATATTCCATCTTTATATGCACATTCTTGACAAAATTTCTCATTTTTTTACACCTATCTTTTTTTACATTTCTAGCATTTATTCTATCCCATTGGATCAAACTTATTTTTATTGAATGAAGGTAATATCATTCCAGGCTTTTTATTTTTATTGTCTTTATCCCATACATCTGGAGTTGCCAATTTTGTCAGTTTCTCTTAACATTTATCACAAACCATCTTAAAATCAATAATTTAAATAATACATATATACATTTCTTTAGATAATAATATAAAAATTAATTATTTAATCATCATATTATATACACCAATTATTATTTACTGATTTCTCTATAAACTTTTATCGTTGCTATTCATTTCAATTATTTATTCTAATGATTATTTATTACAGAATGAAATCATTAATAATTTTTATTAATAATGATCCAAAAATGTAAACAAGGCCTCAGATAAATTGATATATTTGGATAAACTATTAATCTTAGTTTTAGATAAGAAGAATAGTATAAGACCAGTATTGGGGGATTTCTATCTATTTGTATGATAGCTACTATCATCAGCTTTTTCTATTCTAATATTATAAACTTTTTTGCAAAGTTAAATGTAACATCAACATCAGAATTCACATTCTCTAATGATCCAGATATTTTGAGTTTAGATAAGAATAATTTTATGTTTGCTGTTTAAATCGAATAAGATAATTTCACTACTAATCCTTTTTTCAATATCACAGTTGAATAGCGTCATTATTATCGTTTTCCTAATGGAACATAATATAGACATCCAAAAATATATATTGACTTGGTACCTTGTACGGTAGAGCATTTTTCACATCTTTTCGAATAATACAGTGTTAATTTTACAGATTAATTTGAATAGTAGAATCTAAGAAATTTCCTTTGTCCAAATCTTGACTTTATACATAGTTAAAATCTAACTGTGGGAGGGGTTTGGACAAGTGATGATTATTACTTCTTAAAATTCTCTGTTACAAATTGTATAAATTCATAAGACAGTAATTTTACTTGGAAACCAACATGCAAAACTTCTGATGAAATAACAAATGCCTTAAATTCATAAGGAAGTTTTCGATTTTAAGTTTATACAACTAACTTTGTAATTTATAAAATATATATTTTCTTATTAGTTAATCAATCCAAACAGGCCAAAAGATTATGTTTAACCATTTTTAGCTACAGATTAATTTTACACTTTTGTTCCTGACAAAATGTTCGTTTAATCAGATATATTTTTTAGAACAAAAAAAGTTACTACTGATTAAGGAATTCTCATGTATCCAGATAAACAAAATTAAACTTTTGCATTTAGAGATTATGCAGATTAAAGAGAGTAATTTGAAATATCCAGAATAACTCCAAATTATTATGGAGCATTTTATTTTTAAAGAAGTCCCTATTCTTATTAAATCAATAGAAATTTTTTACGTTTGGATGAATTATTAAGTTATTTAGGAGGGTTTACATAATTTATGATTGTCGTGGTTGGAATTCTTGTAAAATTTTACAATAGATAACATTTAATTGTTTCTATAGCTAATGACCTTTATGAATTTGATATGAGTTTTAATAGAATGAATACTCAAATGAACTTTAATAGTCTTTTAGAAAAGAAAGAGAGAGGTAAAGAGGTATAAAAATAAAAAACACAAAGAAATTAATAAACATTGCCTAAAATTTAGATTATGTCTACTTTTTAAAATAAACCAGAATTGTTACAAAATACTAGTCCAGAAAAAGAGGTTTTAAAGATATTAGAGAAAAAGTTATCTCTAGAATTTGCATAACCTGCAGGTTAAAGAGTGTAATCAAGATTAAGTATTCTGAAAGTTAAAGCTTTTGAATATTTTGATGATTTTAAATAATTTATTAAAAAAAAGTATGTAATTGGTTTAGGGTTTCGTGTTATTTTGAGTTCTATATTACCAATAGAATCAATTAAAAATGATGATTGCATAGTGCTTTAAAGAGCTATGTATTATTTATAGAGTAACTTAGTGATTAAGTGAATAAGGAGTTAGATATAGAATATATCATAAAACAATTACATGAACTAACAAAACTAAAGAAGATTTTATTTACTGAGGAATAGATTACACTATTTAATTTTAGTAGAAAACCTAAAATTGCTTTAATATAAGATGGAAAGAAACGTAGATCTACAAAGTAGAATAAATATATCCTATTTTAGGTGTATAGTAAATGGTGAAGTTACAATAGAAGAATAAGGGTTACTTAGACAATTTAACAATTTAGTAACTTCTTATTATAAAATTATGGGATAGGATACTGAAAATTAAACTCAAGAATAAACAAGATTCAATTAAAGATTAATTATATTGTTAGGTACTGAGTTAATGAATGTTTTGGAAAAGGAAATTTCACAATAATAACATTTTGATTCAGAAAACAATGATGATAATGAAGAAAACCTTATAAGTGATAAGGAAATATAAATAGAAAGGAAAGAATGAAGAAAGTTTAGTATTATTCGAAATTATTTATATTTAACAAATTTATTTCTTAAAAACATTTAATTTTAGAGATTAAATATTCTAACAATCAAATAAGCATTAATTTTCAATTTTTATATAATTTTTATTCATTAATTATGTTTGAAGAAATATAGCTTAGTGGAATCAATGCCAAAGAAATAGCATCTTAATCTAATATTACCTTAATTGGTAATTAGGTTGAAGAACATTATAAATGCACAGACTCATCTATTACTTAATAAATTGAAGACATAATTTATGTTGTGTATGTTTAATTATGTATTAATCAATAGAAAGGTTTCGAATGGATAGACTGTTTCAATTCATAAATATGATATGAAGGATTTATTTCATAAGTAAATAACATTAACAAGTGAGTACCTCAATTTTTCTCATTTAATTACTCAAAATGGTTGTCTAATAATGAGGGACAATGACACTCCTTATTTATTAGTTGTTACACAAACAGGATAAATATTTTATAAGAATTTCATTTCTAATACATAAACCATTATTAAGAATTTAATGGTTGATAATTAAAGATTTGTGTGTCTAGCTAAATCACTCATAAATTATAATTAAATTAAATTTTATGTATTAAGTGATGTTGACTTATTATATTTTATAACAATTGATGTAAGAAAAGGAGAAATTGTAAAAAGCAAATATCAACTAAGTTTTGGTACCAATTTTTTAAATAAATTTTTTGGCAATCAAACTAATGATTGGAAGACTGCTTTTTAAATTAATGATAAATAAATTATTCACTATTCTTTTTAAACATAATTTCATTTGTTAGAAATTAAAGGAACAGATTTAACAACTAAGTAATTATCAATCGAAGATAATATTAAGGTTAAATAAATTGAAGTTTTTTAACATAAACCAAATGGTTAAATTACAATGTGTTATTTACAATAGAATCAAATGAAAATCTATTCTCTTATTGGGAATTAATTAAGAATTAATTGTGTTATAACAAATTTAGATTTCTTATAAAATATAACTTTTAATATTAGCAGCATCTAAAATACTATTATTTTAATTTAAGGAAATGAAATTTATTATTTATCTAATGAAAATAATACTTTTGAATTAATAAATTCAAATAAAAATTCTGTTTTAGGTTTTATTAATTAAGACGATTAATTGTTATTGTTTTATAAAAATCATATTTCATTTATAAATTAGGTCTCAGACCAGATAAGTAAGAGATAATATGAATTAAGACAAAAAATATATAAATTTAAAAAGGATGTAGAAAAATAATATAAATTAAAAGATGAAGAGTTAATCTTATAATCAATATCCATAGATTATTATGTAGAAAATAAATTTGACTAATTCTAAACCCTAATTAAATTTATGCATCGTAATTTTGATTAAAAGAGAATAATATAGTTGATGAAACAATAATAAAATAACTTTTTCATAGAAGACTTTATGAATGAATTAATGGATGATTTGGAAGATATTTATTACTATTTGAAACCAACAATTTAAATGTTAGATTTGGATTTTAATTAAACATACACTTAATTGATTAAATAACTAAATTGTTTAGATCAATTCTTATTGTCTATATTTTATGATAAATTCTAAAATTCATATGATAACAGACAAGATTAATGGGTGAAATTTTCATTGCTAAAATCTATTGTGATAAATCAACTAAAAGACTATTATTATATGTATTTGGAAATCTATTTAGGTTTGACTGTTCTTGCCAATATTTTTAATATTTAAGTTGATCTATAACATGATCACAAACTATTTTATGATACAATACTTTTATTAATTTTATTTTAGGATAAGTCATATGTATCATTTTAAGATTTACTAAAAAAGTAATTTTATATAATATCTAATGATATTTAAATATAAAAATTAAATTCTATTCAAAATATCATTTATAGATTTATAAATTTAATCTATGGTGAAGTATACAGAGATTTTGCTATTCCAGAAGAATTATTAAGTGAGGCTTTTGTATAAAATTAGAAAAAATCATTAATTAATTAAAATAATGCTAAGGATTTAATTAGATATTGCAGAGTGAGTTAATAAATTGGATTATAATAGCAAAATATCTTATAATTTATAAATGAAAATGAGGACCAATATCAAGAGTTAAAATTGAGAATCTCTTTTTACTTATAAAAATAACAAAATCAATTTGGAGAAGATGATTAGTAAATAATATTAAAGAAATTGATAAGTTATGCTATAAAATAAGAACAATATTAACTTTTGTTTTAAATCCTTAATATGAATGAAACGAAATAAATTAATGAATAACTATCATTAATGATTGATAGTGATTAATTATTGAAATGCTAATTAAGTAATATATAAATTATCTATGTTAGATTCAAGAACAACTGATTAAATAGCTGAATTATTACTTCAATATTCACGTGAAAGATGCAATAATTTGAAAAAAGCTGAAAAAATACTTCAATATTTTAGTTTTCTAATGAAGCAAGAATCAAAAGGAAAGGTATAGAATTATAAAATAAAAAAAGGCTTTTACATTATTGTTTGAGTATGTGGTAAATTTAGAAATCTTGTTATTTTCTTTAAAATATAAGGATGTTGCTTATGGAGTGAGAATTTAATTAGATTATATAAAGTTATTATTAAATTAGATGGAGTTATAAAGTTAATAAGATTAATTACCTTATTCAAAATAATTAATTTGTAAAGTTAGTGATTAAAATTATGAATAATTTTAGAATCCAAGCACAATAAATGATAAATCTGAGATAAATTTAACATCTCCGAGAAATATTAGAATAGTAAATTAAGAGCAGATAATAAAATTTTAAAAATATAAAGAAATTTAAAATTTTGTTTGTGTTAATTATACACCATATGCTTAACTAAATAAAGTAGTAGAACAATTGATTTTTAATGGAAATTTAAATAAATTGATTTAAGTATTTGAATTAAATTTGGATCCTAATTTTGAGAGGAACATTGTGTTTTTTTATTTTTCTAATGAGGGATAAAGATTTGAACTATTAAATAAAGCGAGAAAGTTTTTAAGTTAAAAAGAGTTTTCAATAGTTTTAGCTTAGATTTCTGTAGTATGTAATTTGAATTTTGAAAAGTGCAAAGAGTTATTTAAGATGGCATAGAGCTAAGAATACTTTTTATAATATTTAATAAACGTTGATAAGGAATCAATCGCTAAAATGATAATTTGATTGTTCTATTGATTTTATATAAATTTTAAGGAGAAATATATTTAAAAAATAACTAACTATCTTTCTTGTTAAAATATAAGTTATAAATATATTACAAACAATAAATTTTGAAATGATTGAAAACAAGAATGCTCTAATAAGTTGTAGTGCATTTAAAGAGAGTGGAGTTTTAAAAGGATGGTGTGAAAGATTGTTGATATATGATTTATTAAAATAGGTAATATATATGATATATAAGTGAGGTATTGAGATATATAGATGTGAAAGGATAAACATAAAAGTAGTTGTTAATTGAAAATTATATAATACATCCTGTAGTTTTTCATTAAGGGAAGTGGTCAATCAAATTTAAAACTCAATAAGAGATTGAACCTAAAGTGGCAAGATTTGGTTGGAATAACTAATCTGAAGCTTTATAGTGGTATGAGTATTTCAACGGAAAATATTTGATGTAGAAAATAAAAAAAGAGAATTAAGAGAAGAATCTCTAAGAGTGGGATAGATTTATACCTGAATCAGAAAGAGTTGTAAATTAAATAGTACCTATGATGGATATAAAACCAAGTTAAGTTTCTAGAATGAGACAAATGATACCTTTATTACCACAATTTTTATAAGTAAATAATATTATTAATCTCAGAATGATATAGAAATTATATTAGAAAAAACATATGAAAATTTATAAGGATTTTCAGATATTCATTCATTTAAAATATTACATCAATCTTAAAATAAAGTGCTTTATCAAGATCCAAATGATCCTTTACATATGCGCTTTTTTTTGAAATCAGAAATGTCTCCAACTAAAATATTTGATGTAAATAAAATTAATGTATCTTTTAGGAATTATCAACCCATAATTTTATTGATAATTGGAGTTCTTAAGTATCAATATACTAAGTTTATCCTACAAAAAAAGATTGTGCTATAATTTATACAGAATTTGATTTAAGTTCAAATTCAGATCATCAAAATAAAGTTAAAGATGTAGAATTTGAAGATGGATTTTCGTAGAGTTTTACAAAAAAGATTAATCAATAATAAAATTTTGAGAATGAAAAGATAAGATTAATTTATACTTAAAAACATTTTTAAATAGATGAAAATGCATATTGTATTATGAAAAAGTATATTGGAAATGAAATATCTCATAATTAATTTGATAAAGATAGAATGGATGGAACAGATGAATATTAAATTACTAGATCTTGTGTTTTAATATAATTAAAATAAGATGGAATATATAAAACATAAATTATTGAAGACATGTATTTATCATGTAAAAATGGATAGAAGGGAGAAGAAGTAATGAAAAGATTTTTATTATCATTTGGAAATATTGATGATTAAATAATGGAAGCAGATGACTATATAAAGTAGAAGACAGAACATGTATTAATAAAGAATGAGAATGATATTGAGAATTTATAAATTTCATTTATTTAAATAGATTAAGAGATACATAGAATAACTTCAGAATAGCATTAATAATAATCTATTTAAGAATATTAAGAAATATTAGATGTAATTTATAGTGGATATAATATTTAATAATCTATTAATAGATAATTTAATCAAAATATTTTAGTTGGTTTAGATAAATAACTAGAAACAACAAAAGAGGATGGTCATTTTTTATTAACTAAATATTATGAAGTTGATTCTAAAAAGGGTGGTTTAATATATACAAATAAAAAATTAGTTAGTGATTAAAGAAGTGTTTTATTAGACATTATAAAAAGAATGGGTTCTAATTTGTTGAGTGGAAAATCCTTAATGTCTGTATCATTACCAATTTAAGTTTTTGAATCACGTTCATTTTTAGAAAGAATGGCTAGAGCATAAGGTCATGCTCCTATATTTCTTGAAAAAGCAGCTTAAACTATGGATGTAATGGAATAAATGAAATTAACTATATCATTTAATCTGGCTAGTTTTATGATGGGTATTTAATAAGAAAAACCGTTCAATCCAATAATAGGAGAGACTTTTGAAGGAAGAATAAAAGGATGTCCAATTTATTTAGAATAGACTTCTCATCATCCTCCAATATCAAATTATATTATGTATGGAAGAGGATATTAATTATATGGAGCATTTTGTCCTGTTGTTAATATGGGAACTAATAGCTTAGCAGGTGAGCAATAAGGACATTCATAAATTTTATATTAAAATACAAATCTTAAATTTTATTATATGGCTTAACCATTTATGTTATATGGTGTTTTGCTTGGATAAAGAAGTGTAAATTGCCATAAAAGAAGCTATTGTTTTCAACCAGAAAATTAATTATTAGCTGAGATTACTTTTAATCCTAAAGATAAAAATTCTAGTTTTTTTAGTTCTTCATCCTAAAAAATTGATGGTCTAATTGGCAAAATATGTAAAGTTACTCCTGAATGTATTTAAAAATGTTTAAAGGCACATAAAACAAATTCTGGAATTAAATTGAAAATTTTACCTAAAGATATTTTAGATACTTATAATATTAATATAAAAGGAAGATGGACATCTTATTTATAAATTGATAATATTAAATATTGGGATATTGATATGCATAGGTATCATATATTTAATTTTAAGACCTTATATTCTCGAGTTAGAATCATCTCCATTACCATCCGATTGTCTCTATAGATTGGATTTGTTATACATGAAAATGAAAGATATCTCAAGAGGATAAGATGTAAAAGAGTAAATGGAAGTGGATTAGAGAAAAGATAAAACACTTAGAGAAAAATATAAAAAGAAAAAAAAATAAAACTGAATTTGAATTTGAAATCAATATAATCAACGTTTAATACATCCTAAAACAATTAAAGCTTTAGTTAAGAATCCTTTGTTTTAATAATTGTTTTATTATTGTTATTATTATTAATGATCTTATTGACGTTGAAACTAAAACTATTAACTTCTAAATTTCATAGCTTCCCATTCTTGTATTGATGATTTTTGACCAAATTAAAAATCAAAAATTTTAGATTAACTTTCTAGAACTTCAGAAGTATAATGTGTAGATTTCATAGAAATCATTGAAGAACTTCTAATTGAACTTTTTCTATCTTATCCTTAAAATAACATCCATTAATGATTTTTTATTTATTCAATTGATGGTCTATTATGAATATTATGTTATAGTAAACTATTAATTAATTACTTACATTCATCTGATACATCAAATTCAAATTCTAATTTCTTTCTTGATAATATTTTTTAACTCTTTTCAATAAATGTCATTCCTTAAAAAGGTGTTTTTCCTTAAACCATTTCATACAACAACACTCCCAGACTCCAAATGTCTGATTTATAATCTGTTATTTAAGATTAAATCATTTCAGGGGACATATATTCAGTTGTACCACAGAAGGCTTTATGATAATTTGGCATTTAGGTAGCCCATCCAAAATCACCTATTTTTAAATCTCCTGATTTAGTTATTAATATGTTTTCGGGCTATTTTATAAATTCTATTTTTACTTTTAAATCTCTATGTACAATCTTCATTCTATGCATATATTCTAAACCAGCTAATAATTACTAAAAATATTAATTTGCCTCTCTCTCTTGTATTCGTTATCTTCGTTTTATCAATTAAAATAGTGATCCCAACTCTGCATATTCTAAGATAAGCAATACACTATTTTTTTATTTACTTAACAGTACCTCATTGAATCTTCATAACAATAACACAATTTTAAAATATTTGGATGACATAGAGATTTTTATATTTATATTTCCCTCTTTAAGTTATCTATTGATCCCTGAGTTACTAATTATGATTTACTAATCTAACATTATTGAACAACCTATACCGCCTTTCTTGCATAATAAATGCGGCTATTAACATCTCTCACTAGTTATACTGACCCATAAGCACCCTATCCCAAACACTATTCAATTATGTGAAAGTCCCTTCAAAAATATATTATATGTTACTTTTCACTTTTCTTTTAATTATTTTCTCTTTTACCCCATTGAGGATCTATTTAACATAACCTTATAACTTAATTTATTATGTACAATTCATTCTTATTCTATATCGCAACTTGATCTTTCAATTATTAAAACACCTTAGAATTCATATCTTCTTTTTTCTTAATAACGATTTTGTTTATTATAAAATGCTTAAGAAATTTTGAAAATAATAATTCTTTCTATGAATATGCTCATATATAGATAAATATAATCATAAATTAATTGACACTAGCTTTTTAAATATAATCAATAACACACTACACTATTCTAATCCCTTAATTTAATTATAAATTATTTATTTAACACATGCAATTAATAAATTTTATATTTTTAATTCTGAAATTCGTATTTATTTTAATTTAAGCATCAAATTATATTGATTAAACTCTAACTTTGTTGTAGCCTTTTTCCCTTTTTCAATTTTTATTGATGATTTTGATTTATTAAAAAAAATATTAATTAAAATGTAAATGATACGGTAATATAATATCAAAAGTAAGTGTTTTGTTTAATTAAATCTATTCTAATAAGATTTCAGAAAATTGTATGATATATTAAAAGTCAATAACAATTAATAGAAAAATAAGTAAATTAAGTAATTTTTTTCATTAAAATTTTAAAAATTCTAATAAAAACACTTGAAAATTGAGAAAAAATAATAAAGCAAATTTGATTAAGAGACAAACTTGATTATAAAATTGTTGTTGAAAGCTAATTTCTTAAAAGATTGCGATATATTAAGAAATATTATTAATATTGGAAGCTGAATGTTATATCTTTATTATCAAAACATTTCGACATATAATTAATAGTTTTATTTATTAGTATTATTAAAATGGTATTTTTTGATATAAGAGAATCTATTTAAGAGAATATAATAGAAGTGTTAGTAAATTTGTTTTATTATTAATCTAACATCAAATAATTTTAATATTGGAATTAAATATATTGATTAGTAATGATATAATTGAATATTTATATAATCAAAGAAAAATTAAATATTTAAAATTAATGAACTATTGCAATTATATTATAATTATAATCTTTAAAGAATTGAATTCTATTTTTTAAAGTGGAATAATATAAATTAATATTTTACATTGAAAATAAGAATATAAAATGGGTTTTATTTATGTTAAAATATATTTTTAATAAATTAACTGTTTATAATGAGTTAACTGAAGAAATTAAATCAGCAGGTTAAATAAGTGAAATGTATAACACTATCTGCCAATAAATCTCATCATACAAATCAATCATCGTTGAAAACATTACCTAAACCAATAGCATCACGACCTGTAACTTCGATTACTAAAAATAATAATAAAGTTGAGGCTGTCAAAATAGATTTAGTAAAATAGAAAAAGCAAATAACAAATATTAGTGTTAGTAGATCTACTTCTTCAGTTCGTACAAGATCTACATCAAATGGACCAAAAGAAGATAAAATTCCAAGAATTTTAGGAGATTTATTAGGTCCTGAAATTGAATTAGCAGATTGTTAAGATTTCTTATTGTAATTAAATGAGCCATAGATTAAGATGGATGAAGATTTAATGAAGGAACGGGTAATATTAGCTAACAGAATAGCAAATACAATAAAAGTGAAAAAAAGAATACCAACAACAACAGCAGATTATTATAAGGTTTAATATATAGACTTAAAATAGGCAGCTGTGTTCTGTAATAGGAAAAGGAGCTTTTGCTAAAGTTTGTTTAGGAATCTAAATACTCACTGGAGTAAAAGTGGCAATGAAAATTATTGATAAATCAAGTTTAAAAAATGAGAGTGCCAAAAAAAGATTAATGTAAGAAATTACTTTAATGAAACTCTTATAACCATATAAATGTTGTATACGTTTATATGAAGTTTTTGAAACTAAAAGATAAATTTATTTAATTATGGAATATGTAGAAGGTGGAGATTTAATTAAATTTACTAAAGAAAAACCATTATCAGAATAAATGGCTAAAAATATATTTGGATAATTGATATTGGCACTTTAAATATTACAAAACCATAATATATTACATAGAGATATTAAATTAGATAATATATTGTTATAAGGAGAATCAATTAAGTTATGTGATTTTGGAGTAAGTCGATAAATTGTTAAGGGATAAAAAATATTAGAACAATGTGGAACTCCTGCGTATTTGGCACCTGAAATAATGACACAAAAAACTGGATATGAAGGATTTGCAAGTGATATTTGGAGTTCAGGAGTTCTTCTTTATATTTTATTAGTCGGTAAAACTCCATTTAAGGGAAATAATATGAATGAACTAAATTAATAGATTTAGAGTGGGTTATTAAATTTTATGGAAATTAAAAAAGCTAATCTTTCAAATGAAGCCGTAGATTTAATGAAATCTATTCTAAATATTAATCCTAAATTAAGATATACATTAACAGAAATTATGAAGCACACTTGGATGAAAGATATTGACTTTAAATAAAATAAGTAATAGCCAAATCAAAATTTAGATCTAAGAATTATTTGCTAAGTATTTATTAATCATATATAAAAAATAGATTGAATAATATGGTTACTAGAGAGAAGTTATAATCAAGACTTTATAAAGTAAAACATTAAGTCATATATCAGCTCTTTATTGGGCATTATATTAGTGATATTTATATTTGCACATTAAAACACTTATAAAAATTTAACTGGGATAATTTTATTCAATTATTAAATTACAATATTTAAATTATTTTATTTTAACATATCTGTATAATTCAGATAGTTCAATCTGATCACATCTGCATATAATTATTATAAAGTTATGAATTTCTTAATTCTTGTACTGATTTAAATTTCATTCCAAGTAAAGCTTAGATGATTTATATCTCAGGTTGATAATCTTATAATATTTGTGGTTTAAATTAACTATAATATATTAGTATAAATAATTTTTACTTAATTTTTGCGTCCTTTTAAGTTTGTATTCTGTCTTATTTATTTAATGATGGATCACAAAGATCTAATATTATTATTCCTACTTATAATAATTCTTCTCTTGCATCATAAACAATCCCTTTCTTTTGCATTCCACTATTAATTTCTACTGTACCACAATCTTTACTAAGTATTAACCAATTATTCTTTTATCCATCATCATTCAAATGAGTTTTACTCCAATCAAAATCACAAATTCTTAATGCTACCTCTCCAGCATTATCTTTTGTTACAAGAACATTCTCTAATTTTAAATCTCTATGAAAAAATCCTTAACCATGAATATACTCTAATCCAGAAATTAATTAATGAATCAAAGATTTCATAATTTTTCTTTTAAATTCTAATGGCACATTTAATAAATATTTAACACTAAATTACAATAAATCGTTGCAACCTAAATATGAATCATATTCTTATTGTAAATAAAGGTAAAAATATTTTTAATTCTTTTAATTAATTTCTTACTCAACCCACCAACTGTATAATCTAATTACATTTGGATGTTAAAGTCTTAACATTGCTTTAACTTCTCTAATTTAAGTAATTTAATTATAAAATAATCTTTACCAACTAATAGTTCCCATTAATCTTACCTTTTTTATTGCATATATTTATTAATCCATTTTATTTATAGCTAAAATTATACTTGTAAATCTTTAAGTTTCTTAAGGAGGTCTAAGAACTGAAAATTCTTTAACCAATTTCCCATTACTAAGTAAATCACATTCATTAAATTCATTAAATTCGAAAAATTTAAATTCAAAAATCACAGTCAATCCTTTTTTAGGATCTTTATCACTAAATTATAAAGGAGTTTAATATTCTTTTAATTATTTTACTATTTTATCATCCACTTATATTAAACAACAAGCCTTCTATACTGAAGTAGATAAAATAGGTTCAATCTTCACATCAGTTGGTCTTATTTATTTCTATTTTTAATTAATTGTATATATACCATTGATCCATTTAGCATTTTTGTGACTATATACTCTATAGCTGTTATTATATCTGTTCTAGATATATTATGTTAAATTTTATTGCTGTATTAATTAATTATGACAACTGCAAATATATTTGGTGATGGAGTTTCTTCTAACTACATATTTTATTACTAGATTTGTTGTTTGTCTTCATTTACCTTTCCTTCATCATCACTATCAAGAAATTCGATGTCTATATTCTGATTATTCATTTAACTTTTAAAATATTTATTCAATGATCTTAAGAATTTAATTAAAAAATATAAATAAAGTTTTATAACTCTCTAAAAAATAATTCAATTTTTACATTAAAATTCAATGCTTCTTCAAATGAATTATAAAGTTAATAAATTAAAAAAATAACATATATGATAAAATTCATATTCTAACTAATATATTAGCTCTTTTCTAATTTATATTTGAATATAAAAATATTAATAATTTTATTATTAAATAATGTTAAGAGAAAAAGTGTTGTTCAAGGTTGAGCAAATGCAAAAAAAGTAAAGAGAAGAAATGTTTTAAGTTTATTTATTGATACATATTTTATAGCTAAAAAGAAGATTCAATCAACCAATTCAATAAGTCTTAGATGAAATCAAAGAGGATAAAAGTCTAATTATTGATTTACTATATAGTAATCATAAGTTGACTGAAAAATAGTATAAATGAAATGTATTTAGACCAAATTATGGAATTATTGATTGTTTACTTAATAATTGCAATTCAAATAAAGCGTGTCTATAATTATTAATCCTAATTATTTTGAGGTTTAAATAAAAATCAATTAATAATTAGAGATAAGAATTAAGTAGTTTCGGAGTACCTTCAAGATAAAGAAATCAAATGTTAAATTATTAAATAAATTATACCAAAGAAAGTTGATTGAGTTAAAAGAATTTCTATTTGTAAAATGAACTTTTATATTCCAAAAAATGCCTCTCTAATTTTAATTTAAATCTTCACTTTATTTATAAAAATATTATTTAATTTTACTTAAAAATATCATTAATTCTAATTTTTTCATAAAGGTTTTATCTTTTTAGATTATTTTGTAGCAAATGACTTTTAATCAAAAAATAAATTTTTCTAATAAAAATTATAAATTATTTTGATAATAAATGAAAATTTTTCAATTTTTTGTAAGTTCTAAAAATCCAATATTATAATGGCCTGGTTAAATAAGCAAAAGAATTTAATTCTTATGCTAATTTTCATAATCTTATACTATGAATTATCCATTTTAAAAAAATATAAGTTTAACATTTCTAAACTCAATATTATGAAATATTACATTTTTAATTATACTGCAAGTGTTTAAATAATAATCTCATTATTATTACACTCTTCCTCCCAAATTAAAAGGTTTTATCTATCTTTGCATTGATCTTTAAATTAATTGAAATCCAATAAAAAATTACACAAATTTCTTAAAAATATTATAGATAAACTATTAAAACAACCTGAACCATCTTCTTGGATATTATATTCAACAAAATCTTTTAAGAGTTATTATCTACGATCTTCTTCTTATTCAATTAACCTAATAATTTGTAATTAATAAAAAAATTCTTCTAGTAAATCTTAATCATCAATTTAAAATTGATTGTAGTTAATTTTAAATTAAATCTTTTAATTTAAAACAAATTAAATGAATTAATCATACTCTTCAAGACTGTAAGTAAATAATAAATGACCTAAAAATTAATACATAAATGCAGTATAAAAACAATTACCATCTCCTCTGACAAATAAAATTTGATTACAATGTATTTTTAATTTTAATTTTTGGTCTAAATTCTTGATCTAATAATGTTTACATAAAGTATTAAAGTTACCAACAGTTTATAAATAAGCTTTAAATTGTTCTTCCACATTTCTCTTATCTTATGACAATTCCTTTAGCTATTTAATTTTCTCAATTGTTTTTTTTAATCTTTCCTCTTTATATTAAAATTATATTTTTAATTGATAATGTTCAAGCAGTTATTCAATTTAATTAATTCTTTAAATATTTTCATTTTAATTGATATTATCATTTTTTATGACTTGTATTTATTATTCTTCTTATTTTAATGGACTAAGTGGTTTTTCAATTTTGGATTGACTCTCGATTATGTTTTATTTAATATTATCATCTTAATCAACTTTAAGAAGATTATAATCAAATGGCTATTTTTTGTGTATTTTTTATTCATTTGGTTTTTTTATTATAGTAGAATTTTATTAAAAAGTATCTATTTAATGTTATGGAACTTTTTTCGGATTTGGTTTTTTTTTTATAGTAGAATTTTATTAAAAAGTATCTATTTAATGTTATGGAACTTTTTTTGGATTTGGTTTTTTTTTTATAGTAGAATTTTATTAAAAAGTATCTATTTAATG